CAAATAATTTGAGAGCACGTACTATTTTTGAATTTAAGTCTAAACATAAATAAAATGGTATTTTATGTATCTAAGGCAAGAAGTAAGCTGTAATATACTAATTTATTTCTTTTTCAATCTTACTCAAGTTAGAAGTAAAAAATCATTTACTTGTACGTGTCCTTACTTTTCTGCTGCGGGCACGCAAAATTTATTTTCGATAAATTTTGTTAATTTGTTAATCAAAACACCATATTTTCAGTATTTCATAAGGGTCTCAGGTTTAAGTAGTTAGAAGATTTACTTTTACATGCCCTTACTTTTCTGCTGCGCGCACGCAAAATTTATATTGAACCAATTTGGAATATACCGTAGATATACATTCATGTATATTACCGGAATATTTGTTTTGAACATACTAGGTATATTCACCTGCACATATACACAATATGTACATACCTGGCATGTTCATCTGCACATATACCCAATATGTACATACCTAGGATCTACTTTTTATGAACTTTGATGAATATACATGCATGTGTATTCCACGAACATTCATGTTAGGAATGTTCAACCGTGTATATTCCCAGGATATTCCCGCAATGTTCTGTATATTTTTTGAACATTCTGGGATATTCATAGAATATCAAATGCTATGTGGGATTGGTTTGAAGCTAGCAAAAACTAGCAGTTCGTGTGCAATAAATTTCCCTATCGGGGACACACATACCTAGGCAAAGCATCCAGAATAGCTCTCAGGTCAGCAACGTGTCCGATTTCGTTGCGCACCAGCCACAATTCCTCCAATCCGCTGCCCGACTCCTGCAGGAAACTTTCTGGGTGCACCCTCCTGAGGAAGTTGCCGTTTAAGTTCAGCTCGCGTAGCTGAGGGACTCGATGGAACGCTCCATGGTGAAGCTCAGTGATACGATTGTTGGGCAAATGCAGCGAACGCAGCGTGGGCAGGTCCACAAAGCCCGCTTCTCCCAGAACATCTGCGGGTTTGTCCGGGGTGTTAAACCATCAAGTCTTCTGAGACTGTCCTCACCAATGTGGTTGTTGTCCAGTCTTAAAGTGGCCAATTGGGGCAGCTCACGGCTGGCGCGTCCGACCATTCCAGCGTCTTTAATGCGGTTGCCCACCAAGACCAATTCTTCCAGAATGGGCAGTCGCGTGATGGCTCGATGGTGCATCCAGGTGAGTCCGCAATTGGAAATGTTCAGCAAACTCAAGCTGGGCAGATCTCGGAACACTTCAGCCTCCAAGCGGTTTAGCTGGGGACTCTGGCCAATGTGAATCTTTTCCAATGAGGGGTTGTTTTTGAAATTGCGCGGCGACAGCTCTAAGAGGGAACTTGACTGGATTTGCAAGTACCTAGAACGAGGTCAATTTTTAAAGAGCGCATTTGATTGAAAACCGCCCGTTTCGACCAAAATTTGCAAAGTGTTCGGAGTGATTGGGATGAAATTTTCCCTTTTTTTAGTCAACCCCACTCGCAAAACAAATTTCCCCAAAAACCCAAGAATCCCAAGTATAACCGGCGATTTACCGCTTATAGGCCTTGCGGATCCACCACAGCTGAATGACGCAGGTGCCAAATGAGCCTACTATGCTACTATTAACGCGCTGAGCCGGAAACTTGGAAAAACGATGCTTCCGTATACAGCATGTTCGCTTTTCCCTCTCCAAATAGTTCCGATCGAATTAGCCAAATAATTGCTTACCGGAGTTTTGGCAGGCCAGAAAACATCGGCAACCGTTTCATCTCGTTGGTTTCAATGGTGACTGCTTGTAGAGCGATCAGTTGCGCAAGAGAATCTTCTGGCATTGTTCGCAGTTTCGGTTCGACAATGAAAAGCTCCATTAGAGTGGTTTCCAGGCCGCCAAGCCAATCGTTGGACACTCTTTCCAGACCGTTGTGGCGCAGCATGAGCCTTAGAATCTACAAGCTTGAGTTACTCCTCGCACAAAAAATGTTGGAGACTCCGAAACTCTACCTTAAGATGGACGAAACTTCTGCCAGGAAGAGCGGGCAGGAGGTTGTTTTCCAGAATCAGTTCATCGATGGGTTCCTGGATGAATTTGGCAGTTGCCCTCAAACCGTCCACAACGCTTGGAAGATCGCTGTGCGTGCACCTGGAATGGTTCATCAGCATAGCAAATACAGACTGTGTGCAGGAACTTACCAGATCTGGAATTCTTCTCCGCGAATCAAGCACCTACAGGGCAGGATGGATTTGGGCATCGGGCACGTTTTTTGGCCTTTTGAGCCTTCGAGCAGAGCCGCACCAAGCGTCAAAACACACAATATTGCCCATTTTAGATCCATTTTCGTTCTCTCATTCCGCTTTCATCGGCTCCAACTGGCAAAGGGCTCTTGAAACTTTCATCATTTGATAATTTAATGGCGTATTGTGCGGACCTTAAATGGGATTTTATTGTTAATCGCCACTTTTCAATGGTTGATCTGGTTTTATTGCGGAAGCAGGTTTCGATTTGTTTTCTCTGAATGCGACAGATTTATGAGGCGTCCGCGGTTCCTGTTTGGTTTTCCATTTGTCTACCATCTACAGGGTGATTATTGATTGAACTTTGTTTCTTTTTCTTATTTTAATGGCTTCAATGGAACGAATTTCAAACTTGTAACGTCCTGCCAAATATCAACCTGCCCTGCATTGTTTCTGCTTAGTGAAAGTGCTCGGAATGCTAAATTTTCATTGCAAAGGACTTAAAACCGGAAATTACTTAGAAAGTCCTAATATTAACACAATGCCCAAGCAGCCTGAGCACACTTGTCTAATCTGAATGTACAGGGTGCTTTCAGGCCGTCGTAGAAGGAGTTTCTGAAAAACTCATCACTTTCTAACCAATATTGATGGAAACTCTGCAGTTGGATTCCAATAAAAATCTCAGATCTCACAGCCTCGAGTCTCTCCTATAAACTGTGAAAATCTCAAGTTTCTACTTGCTCTTCTTGACGAGGTACGAACTTTCAAACGCAAAATTTACGTTGCGCGCTGTTATTATATATAGCTTTTTGGTTAACCTTGTTGGGAAAACGCCCTTTTATTGCATTGGACAGTTTTCCATTGAACTATTAATTTTGGCTAATTTGTACTAACAGTAAAACAATTGTTGACATTAATGTCCTTTCGCATATAGCGGTTCCTTAGTCGAAATCATTGCGACTTGAGAACGGTTCGGTCACGGCACTTGACTTATGATTTTTCATAAATGCCTTAAAATCTGCTCTTGTTTTGTGCTTTTCTCTGAAGTGTAGCATAAATTATGCGACAAATTGGCTCGTAGAACCCGAGCGGGTTTATGGGTTGAAAATAAAACGCTAACACGGGCTCAACTTGATCGTTTTTAGTAAAAATTCTTCGTATCTATGCTGGGTTTCATTAGACGCGCTTATGTGGAAAAGTATCTGGCAGCAAAAGATTGGTATATGGTAGATTCTTACTCATTTTCGTCACAGTGTTTGGCCGCAGTACAATCGAAACGATTGGCACAAAGACCCGCTTTTATAGTGGAATTGACCAATATCCGTTCGGGATTTGAAAAGTGAAACAAACGCAGGCTGAAATTGGTTCCGTTGGGCGCTAAAAAGTCATTTTTCTCTTGCTACAAATCCTGAAAAAGGCGTTTTTGCGTCGCGCCAGATGTGCGAAAGTCTGGAGCAATTGATGGTGAAGAAGCAGCGAAAACTTGGATGTTAACGTGAAGAAAGTGGAGCGAAAAAATCTTCAATAATTCTAAATTGTCGTTTTTTTGCAAACTGAACTTCAAACTGGCCCGAGCGTTACACTATAGTGTCGCACCCTGTATATATATACAGGGTGCGACTGCTTAAGTTAACGAGGGAATTTTGAGGAAAAACGCATATTTGACATTACGTTTCCATCGAGTGTCATTCAGGGGCGGATCCAGCTTATGTAGAAAAAATACAGTCTTCTGTTGTTTATGAACTGAAAATGATCGTCGTTTTGTGCAAGGGTGGCGCAAGATTATTGCAAAATTTAATGTTTTCCGTCCCGTTTTGCCTGTTTCTCGGAAGCAAAATGAGGAAGAACGCTCTTTTTTACATCATTCCAGAGATAACTAAATGGCCTTTTAGAAAGTGAACCATGGATGGGGAAATGTTGGCAGATTTCT